AGCAAAATAAGACCAAATACTGTTGGCTACACGCTACCAGTAGGCGATTTCTGTCATTGGTCACTAGGGGGCACGATCTCACGCTCAGTGTATCTCGTGCACATGCCGGACACACCTATTGCACAAACGTGGCCAATTAAAAAAAAATGTAAACCATCACAAAATCTTCAAAGGCTGATGTGCAACAGACGGTGCGATGGGTTTTTTTTCTGTTCAAGACAACTTTTTGCGTATATAATGTTATCAGCAGTAGGTAAATATATATATCCATAATACAGTTTCTTTTGGGTTATCTCGCATAAATATAAATGAGTCGTTAAATCAGTCACCACCCGACACAGCCAATTAGTAAGGTTTTTCACGTAAACAGAACAAACCAATTCGTTACTAGTACAGCACACCAGTGTTTTGGAAAGCAAATCCACAAGATTGTAAATGTTGTGGATTTGCTCTCCAACACGCGGGTGTACAAGTAACGAATTGGCATGTTCTGTTTATCTGACAAACCTTACTAATTGTCTGTGTCGGGTGGTGGCTGATTTAACGTCACATTTATATGTATGAGATCTAACCCAAAAAAAACTGTATTTTGGATTATATTGGTCATAAAAACCTACGTCTTAAACCAAATATAAATAGCCACAGTGCTACTTTTGGGCAGTAACTGAACTGCTGTGATACACGTAAAATAACAGCATTGAGAGAGCGCAGAGCAGCGAACTTAATTACCTTTTTATTGGTGTCGCTTTTTTGCGTTTGAAAGAAGAAAAATCCGTGAAAAGGTGACTGTAAACATGTACAAAGTATTTCAATGTAATACAATTATAGGTTAGATGCTTCTTTTCCCAAGGCTATCTTCCATAGCCACATTTAATTCCAAATAAACCATGGCAATGTGTATCATACCCAATCATTCGCTTGCCTAAATGTCAAGGTTGGTGCGGAGTAGCCGATGATGATGATGGGGGAAACACATTTTTAAAGGTGGTTTGCTGCGTACGACCAGCGCGTTTGTGTGCACTGCTTTAATGAAGTCATCCGGTTCAGCAATAACAAATGCTTCTATCGACAACAGAAAGTGCATCGCCCACTTAGAGCCACGCATGTTCAGGCTTTGTATTTCATGGTCGGTGGTAAAAGACCCCCCCACCCCTTTTGTCAATTCCTCTTCGGATGGTTTCCATTCCATCGTTCACTCTGTCATTTATTGGCAGTACACATCTGCAACATGAATTTTGCATCGTGAGCTAGAAATGAGTGTTGGTCAAATCATATCGCTTCATACAATAACACTGGCTGAAAAGAACAAAAACGTATAATTTATGACGATTCAGGCAATGGCTCTTCTTCGTAACAAAATTAAAGCTCGTGCACCACTGCCAGCGCAGCATCACCACGTGATTTGTTCACTTCACATTGTTCACCTGCCACGCGATTGCTCTGGTTGGGGTTGGTGGATTGGTTAAAGAGGGGTGTTTTAATCCCCAGTAGACTTGTGACACTCGACACCATCATGCATTTGGGATTTAGATAGCATCTGCAACTGCATCTGATATATACCGGTATCGTTCAACGAGACGTGAAGTATGTGTAGAGATAATACCAACTGCTTTCCCAGGGGAATCTGACATCCTGCATTTATTTTGGTGTTTGGCCAGTCCCGTGTATAATGTTTTGGCACGTGGAACAAAACCGTCGTATCTGGGGAAAGCCGTACACCTACAACACCTGGCAAGCCCTGGAAATCAACCATCCAAGTATTAACCAGGCTTAGCTTTCCTCATCCAATTATATTAGAAGAATTAGGGTAATTTTGTTGAAGGCTAGAGGGTCGTGCGTGGGTTAGCGGCAATGATAGTTGCCTCCCCGACTGCGTAGGCTTCTGCGGTTGTACCGCGTAGATTTTTAACGTCTTTTCAGGTTGTATCGACGTGATGTCCGACGTTTCACTCCAAGTGTCGTGAGCTTTAGTACACGGAGTGAAACGTCGACCATCATGCTGAACGGTTCATGGTACAACCCGGGAAAAGAAAACAATTGTAGAGCTGTAATTGTTACCTATTTTATCCAGCAGAGTGGCCAATGGCTTATCGTGAACTAAACTAAAACTCAGCTATTTTTTATTTTACCAGGTAAGGCCAACTGAGCTAGACAGCTCTTTTTCAGAAGTGACCTAGCCACAAATGATAGCTCAATAAAGTGGCTTATCACGTGGACATTTATAGTAGCCAAATACTCGAAACGCACGTTTCTAAATGTGGAGGGAAAAACCGGAGGATCCAGAGAAAAATCCACATTACCATGGGGAGAACATGAAATCCCAAATATACAGGCATCAGGGTTGGGATTGAATCCTGTATAACAGGCGAGGTAGTTAACATCTCGCCACCGTGGCACCCCAAATTAATATGTGGATGTAACAAAATTAACAAAAACAGCAAAAATGTACAACCCTGTTTTTCTCTGAAAAGGAAATTAAACTGTCAAGTGCAGTTTGTTGTGATGATACTTTTACTGCCAACTGAAAATAATATGTATTCTGTCCACAGTATTGTCTCTTTGAGCATCAAGTAAAATGCCTTTTAGGGAACTGTCCAAATAACCTTTAAACTAATAGAATTCATAAAAGAAGATAATTAACTCAAAGCACTTGGACCTTTTTGTGCTATCATTGCAACTGCAGAGTAATGCCGCATGAAGCTTTTTAGGGTAATTAATGAAGCATTATTATAAACTAGCCTTTTGCCCGTCCAAGGACAGGTGTACTGCAGTAAATCTGAAACTTGCAAGCAAAAAGCAGACCGCAACGTCATATTCATTACATCCATTCGTGTGCAATTTGTAAGGCCGCGGTGACACAGACTTATTTCGTTGAAATGTTATAATCCCTTGTTCATCACGACGTCCTTTTAACTTCTATGTCTCAATAGCGTTACGGAGATCGCGTGACGTGAGGGTTCTGCCTTTGTAGTGAGGGTTGTGAGTTGACGCTGAGGAGGGGGGAGGAGGCGCCTCGCCCCCCCATGTGGAGTGACGTCACCCGCTAATTATTATTAATGGAGGGAGGGGGTCCATGTGGATGACGTAACCTGTTCATGATTATTAATGAGGGGGACTGGTCGACGTGGAGTGACGTCACGCGCGGGACAGACAATATTCTTGGGTAAATATAGTAGTTATTTCCATGGAATGTGGCAGTATTAATCCTCCTGCTATTTACTAATGCAGCTCATTCACATAGTACAACAATGAATGATATGGGAAATGTAAATAAATCCAAATTGTATAGTAACCGAACATATGATGCGTATTCAGATTTTATAAATGTCATCACACTTGAGGGCAATGTGGCATTTTATTTCAGAAAATATTTTTGTTTATTTTCAGAATGACTCGACTTTCCAGTAACATACCATACGTACAATGTTTTATAGTGTGTTGTGTTAGATTACAGTACACAGTCATATACATGATCAAAAGAGATTCCTCACTTGTCTACAGCACATATATATTCGGCGAGGCATTTTAGCGCAGCAATTTGTGGATCAGCTGCATAGGCAGGAACCGTGAATGTAATAATAAATATGAAATTACTCTGCTTAATGACTAACGTCATCGAGTGAGGAGGGAAAGGCGAAACATAGGCAGATGGAGTCTCCAGCTTTAAACAGAAATTGCTACCAGTGATTGCCTCGTGCAAAGAGCGAGGGTAGGATTTAAAGACAAGAAAACGAAAGGGCGATCAAAGTAAATGGAAACAATCTCTAGACAAATGCGAGCTCCACCTCAATTTAATAATTTTTTGGGGGGGTAGGTTAAAGAGGCCCAAAAATAGATAAGCTGAAATTAATTGCCTTATTTAAACCGTTGCGCCACACTTTCTGGCTTTCCTCAAAAACATTAATGAATTTGGAATGGACTCTTGTTGACGTCCTTTCTCTCTTGCTCTCACTGTCAGTGACACTGGTCATGCCACAGAAGCCCTTCCTTGCAATTTAAAGTCCAAATAAAAATGTGGCTTTAAAACCCGGCCTTCAAGGGACAATCTACAATGTCAAGTTTTGCAGGGCAATTTTTTGTAAATTTGTTTTCGGGTTTCTTCTGCTGCGTTGGTGAAACAAATGAAATGCCGCCTTGAGCTCCACGGTTTGAAAACATGAAAGAATAAGAATAGGTTTCACCCTTTCTGGCAATAAAACGGCTATATTCTTAGTTTTTTCGGTAAAGTCACGTTAAAGAGAAACAACGTGACTTTACCGAAAAAACTAAGAATATGAATTACTGCAGTCACGAAAGCTTTAAATCAAAAAATAAAACGGCTGTTAAGATGTTCAAATACCAAACAGATACGTTTGACAAGGAATCAAGTCCGCATTAACCACACAGTAATTGTGGTGAACACGCAGACAAAAACATGCTCTGAAAATTTATCCATTGTCTTTGAACCTGGTTGGCGTACACCAGAGACAGCCTTCTTTATGGCCTAGACTCACCACCAGCCTCAGACCAGAGAACGCCCAAAGACGAACAGTACAAAGACAATGCCACACGTAGCAGAGGCATTTATAGCTCGGGGTGACGCAGCTGTATCACGAGACCGTTTTGACAATATCAAAGTATGAAAAAAATAAGAATAGGTGTTATCCTTTCTAGCAATAAAACAGGTGTTAAGATTTTCATATTCTTGGTTCTTTCGGTAAAGTCACGTAGAAGGGAAACATTGTTATTTTATTGTTTCCCTTCTACGTGACTTTACCGAAAGAACCAAGAATATGAATCCCTGCACTCACGAAAGCTTTAAATCAAAATTTAGGTGTTAAGATGTTCAAACGCCAAATAATAGATACCTTTTTACTTAATTCCTTGCAAAAAGGTATCTATTTGGTGTTTGAAGACCTACACCTATTTTATTGCCAGAAAGGGTAAAACCTATTTTTATTTTTGTAACGGTTTCAAAACTTTATTTGTGACGTGTCACTTTCTCGTGTGTGCCTGCACAGAGGCTGGCCAGGACTGCAGAAGAACTGCAGAGAGCTCACCAGTGGAGTGACAACATCAAGGTGAGGGCTGGGGGGAGGTCAAACATCGTGACATCGAGCTACCACGGTTACCGTTCACTCCACAGTGCCTCCCTTATTTTTTACCTCTTTACCATTTTATTAACTAAAGAGTGGAATCAATATTTACAGATCTGCTAAAAGCATTGGATCTTGTCCACAATTGATTAATTCTGTGCACTGCCCTCTTTACACTGCAACAGACACTTTTTCATTGGCGTAATTGATGTTAGTGGCAACAAAGAGGATTTGATGTGTTAGTGGCATGGCTGGTTCACGCTGGAGGTTTGTTCACAATTAATGGACTCGTTGATGTTAATTTTATATAATTTTACCGCTATTATGTTGAAATATTTAACAAAATTATTGCTCTTTTCTCGTGGTCAATTAAAAATATTGCAGCTCAGGGAGCGATATTTAAGGGGATCTTCATATAATGGGTTGGATGTTAATGCAATAGTGCGCTGATTCAATATTTATTTTCCAACCGAACTGACAAAATGTGAATCTGGAAACTATTTAACATTGCAGACATTAAATAGCGTAATGCTTTTAAATACTTTGACATCAAAAAAACAACTCAACACATTAAAAAAATGTAATAGCACAAATGTTGCATGATATGAACTGGTCGTGCAGCTTATTTGGGCATGATAACTATTTACTGGTGTAAAGGTTTGTAAAATAATTTTTAAAAATCATAATAGTTTTGCATCACTGTAGCGATTCCTACGCTCAACGGGTTGTGCTGAATTCTGTAGGTGTCATTTGTTGATCGTGAGGGTGACGTGCTCCCTTTTTCCGTGTTATGAATTTTCCAGCTCTGCATATAAAAAATCAGAGTATCTGTTGTTGTGCATGGAAGAGAAAAATATATGACCCACTGTGGAGTAGGTAGGAAGAGGACATGCTGCTAATGTAAATAGCATTTGACAAGTGAATTACGATCTGGCATCGGAACTGGCCACACACAATTAAATTGTTCATGCAGCAGCTGTAGAGCTTTGATAGAAGAACAATGTATAGTATGCTTATGAGCAATTGACACTTTCTTGTTAATGAGAGAAGGGAAATTTGACGCGTAAATAAAGGCAGCATTATAAAATTACCTTGTGCCCAGGATTTATGCATGGCTGGTCTGGCAGATCCTGCGGAAAGGTCTTCTGTCTCCCAAACAAACACACAAATGGGATCTCGTGTGGAGCTGTAAATTCCGTGCATGTCACGTTTTGTTTGTGGAAAAGACAATTCAGGTTTTAGATGGGGCGGGTTTTCTCTAAAATCACCAGGCAGGAATATGTCTTAATGCAATCGCATTTAATCTATTGTGCCGTCTAACACTTTAATTCTGATTGTGTGTAGTAATTAGTTTGTTTTTTTAAAGGCAAAGGTCTCAAGGTTGATTGTTCATCACTCCCTCGTAGATGGAGCATTACTGCGGTGTGATCAAATTCCCTTTTACCTCCTTTTTGACGGTGGATGAAAATGGAAATTAAGTGCTTTGGAGCGTGTGGGGGGTGGGGGGGGTTTGGGGAGGACGTGTTTATAAGTGACTCTAGTGGGTAGATTAGCTGTGGCTGTGAGTGCGATCAGGTGTGCATAAGTGCATCCGCTGCAACCGGGAAAAAAAGCTTTTTCATTAACTTATTAAATTAATCTAATTCCATGACAATTCGTGTCGGAAAAATTGTTTGTCCCAATGTGAAATTGAAGAACCATGATAGGATAAAACATATATGTTGAGTTCACTTGAAATGTCATGTTCTTAAAGGTCTAGCTTTTTTATAGCGTGCCTTGTATGTCAAAGTGTGATCCTGTAATGTTAACACGACTTGTTGTAAGCCTTTAGATATTCCACCAAGGGAACAGAGAATCAGAATGTGTATTTGTACCTGAAGAATCCAATGAGCTCTGATGCTCTTTTTCACAGATTTTAGGAAGCGTACTTACAGCTATTTAAATATGCTTCCCTATAACTGGAGCTGTGATGCTTATTTTAGACACTGTATCGAGCAACATCGCACATTCGGAACACTGGGGTTTTTACGCTTTATCTTTGATATTTTAAGCACATTTGTATTTCTTCCATGGATACTGCCATGACGTAATGGTTAGTACTCTGCACTTAATATCCAGAGGTCACCAGTTAATTTTCCTGGGAATGGCAGTTGAAGCAACAGACCACGTTTCTTAAATCCCTCACCGCCTTTGTCGACCCAGCAGTATACATAAATGGGTTCACCACGGTTAGTCGATAGGCAGACTGCAGACCGCATAACGGTGGGGTGAATAATGACGACCCCCACCGCTTCCAAGGCATCTGGCCAGTGTGGAAGAACAGGCCAAAATACACTCTAGAGGGAGCTCTCTAGAGCTCGCTGTTCGTGGAAGCCCTTCCATCAGCATTGGCGTGAGTGGGCAATTGCAGGGCTGCGCCTTTACCTTTATTGCCTCTTCTTTCCCCATGTCTCAGATAGCTCCTCATTGCGGTGCACGTTTTTAAAAAAAAAATGCTTAGTGAATGCACAGGTGGCACTTTTATTAACTGTGTTGATCAAATTAAATTATCCATTATTACTTTGTAAAACAATCTTATTCAGTTGCATGAGTAAATAATAATGTGTGTTATAGCACAACGACAACGTTCAACACACTCTAGCAGGATGGCAGTTGTGGAGAAAACTGAGACGTGAGTACACGTATGAGGGCAATTGCCATACTTATTCAGGCCGATCGTAGAATAAATAACATTTTATTTCATAAAAAATAAAAATTGTAATTGGATGTAAGTTAAGTGCGTGTGCAAGGGGGCTTGATGAGACTGAAAAGTGGTCATGCTGCGATTCCCTATAAATAATCTTTGCAGAGTAATAGAATCTGGTAAGAAAAATTGTTTGAAATTAACGTGTTCTAATGTGTTCTTCAATGTTACTAATGTCCCTCTGCTATGTCCGATTGACTTTGATGCAATGCATTAACAACTAAAAGTTTTCAGTTTTGCCAAAGTGTGTTATATGAGAAATAATTTGTCTTCGCGGTTTCAATGTTCCTGAGGGGATTAATTTTTGTTCCCAGATATCGAGATAACCCAGCAATAAACCGCATTTCAGCCCTTTCCATTGTTTACTGCGCAGGAAAGTGTTGGCATGCTTTTTGTATAAGTTTTCTTCACAAAGCATAGTCTAGAGTAAGCCATCAGTTGTTTGGTAGATATGACAATCAATGTCAGGGTAAGTAAACAACAAAGATCGCTGTGAATTTTTATTCCATTTTTTTTTTACCAGAACTGTTATGCCGCGAAATCAATGTTTGTGTTTGGCTAGAGCTTTCAGAATGTATATGGGCACACTCGATATTATTCCAGCTCCGTGCATAAACTCACACCTGTCTCCTGCTTTTCTGTCGGATCCCCTACAATTTATATTTTTCTGATCCTTTTTCTGCCATTTGTTTTTAAACTGTGTACCAAGTATTATTATATTCTTAGTTTTTTCGGTAAAGTCACGTTGAAGAGAAACAAGTGTTAGTGCAGAGGCCCTAGCTATATGCATTGACTTCTATTTTTGGCTTCTTTAGAATGTTAGTATTTCTGCAATCACTCACCCTCACAGGCATGCATTTGCTAACCTTGCAGTGGCTCCACTTATATATTCAACTGATTAAGCTGAAACTGACTTACAGACCGTCTGATTTATTTCAGCAAGCTGATATGTTTTCCAGATCAGGCTAAAATTATTGTAGCAATGAACAGTAAAAATGTAAGGATGCATCGATTCATTGATCAAGATCAATTACGCTTGTCATTCAGAAATCGAATAATTTGTGAAATGGCTTATTTTTCTTTCATATGTACAGTGAGGGGAAAAAGTATTTGATCCCCTGCTGATTTTGTACGTTTTCCCACTGACAAAGAAATGATCAGTCTATCATTTTAATGGTAGGTTTATTTGAACAGTGAGAGACAGAATATCAACAAAATCCAGAAAAACGCATGTCAAAAATGTTATAAATTTATTTGCATTTTAATGAGGGAAATAAGTATTTGACCCCTCTGCAAAACATGACTTAGTACTTGGTGGCAAAACCCTTGTTGGCAATCACAGAGGTCAGACGTTTCTTGTAGTTGGCCACCAGGTTTGCACACATCTCAGAAGGGATTTTGTCCCACTCCTCTTTGCAGATCTTCTCCAAATCATTAAGGTTTCGAGGCTGACGTTTGGAAACTCGAACCTTCAGCTCCCTCCACAGATTTTCTATGGGATTAAGGTCTGGAGATTGGCTAGGCCACTCCAGGACCTTAATGTGCTTCTTCTTGAGCCACTCCTTTGTTGCCTTGGCCGTGTGTTTTGGGTCATTGTCATGCTGGAATACCCATCCACGACCCATTTTCAATGCCCTGGCTGAGGGAAGGAGGTTCTTACCCAAGATTTGACGGTACATGGCCCCGTCCATCGTCCCTTTAATGCAGTGAAGTTGTCCTGTCCCCTTAGCAGAAAAACACCCCCAAAGCATAATGTTTCCACCTCCATGTCTGACGGTGGGGATGGTGTTCTTGGGGTCATGAGCAGCATTCCTCCTCCTCCAAACACGGCGAGTTGAGTTGATGCCAAAGAGCTCCACTTTGGCCTCATCTGACCACAACACTTTCACCCAGTTGTCCTCTGAATCATTCAGATGTTCATTGGCAAACTTCAGACGGGCATGTATATGTGCTTTCTTGAGCAGGGGGACCTTGTGGGCGCTGCAAGATTTCAGTCCTTCACGGCGTAGTGTGCTACCAATTGTTTTCTTGGTGACTATGGTCCCAGCTGCCTTGAGATAATTGACAAGATCCTCCCGTGTAGTTCTGGGCTGATTCCTCACCGTTCTCATGATCATTGCAACTCACGAGGTGAGATCTTGCATGGAGCCCCAGGCCAAGGGAGATTAACAGTTCTTTTCTGTTTCTTCCATTTGCGAATAATCACACCAACTGTTGTCACCTTCTCACCAAGCTGCTTGGCAATGGTCTTGTAGCCCATTCCAGCCTTGTGTAGGTCTACAATCTTGTCCCTGACATCCTTGGAGAGCTCTTTGGTCTTGGCCATGGTGGAGAGTTTGGAATCTGATTGATCGATTGCTTCTGTGGACAGGTGTCTTTTATACAGGTAACAAGCTAAGATTAGGAGTACTCCCTTTAAGAGTGTGCTCCTAATCTCAGCTCGTTACCTGTATAAAAGACACCTGGCAGCCAGAAATCTTTCTTATTGAGAGGGGGTCAAATACTTATTTCCCTCATTAAAATGCAAATAAATTTATAACATTTTTGACATGCGTTTTTCTGGATTTTGTTGTTGTTATTCTGTTTCTCACTGTTCAAATAAACCTACCATTAAAATTATAGACTGATAATTTCTTTGTCAGTGGGCAAACGTCCAAAATCAGCAGGGGATCAAATACTTTTTTTCCCTCACTGTATGTTGTATTTAATTGGCTTATGTAAACCCGACAGCCATGAGACATTACATTGTGCACACATTACAATGGTAAAATAATCATTGCTAAATTAAACAAATAGTGACTAAAATCCTCACAATTCCTCAATCACGATCGAGGTTAATAATTATATTCTAAATAAATAAAAAGTGAAAAGGTAAAAGTTCAGCCCTGCAATGGCTTCCTCATGTCACTGCTGGTGGAAGAACCGATACTGGAGGGAAATCTCGTGAGCCCCTCTGGAGGGTATGTTGGCCTCCTCTTCCACTCTGTCAGATTACTTGCAAAAGGTGGAAATAGCCACAGTTTACTCCACCACACACGTGACCTGCGAATGAACTAACTGTGGCATACCCATTCATACTGTATTGCTGGGGAGGGGGGGGCAGAGAGGGGGCGGAGGAGCCAGGAGACAAAACCGGCGACATCGAGATTGCAAGTTTGATGTGCTCATAATAAAAGTTAGTTTGGGTTAGAATGCGTAAATAAAAATGTGTCGATAACCCACCATCAACCGACACAGCCAATCGGTAAGGTTGTTACCAAAACAACATTTGTAATGACAGTTTGTTTTATTTGGCATATCTCATTGTTAGAATGGCGAAGGGTTATTATTTTTCTCTAATTCCATGATTCTATACTCACCATTTGAGTGACTTTTATTGAGGCGTACACTTCATTGGAAGACGAGGCCTGGATTTCTCAAGATGAGCTGGCAGTTATTGTTACCACTGCTTTGGCTTCCAACGGCACAGAAGAAGGAGCGTCTTATACAATGACACGGGAATTCATGGCTCCCTGACAACACCTCCCATTGGGCTTACTGTGGCACTCTCATCATGCCTATATGTGTGCAGCTCAAACCCCAGGCTTCATCCATCCTCGTGAAGTCCAAGATCAGCCCTGATTTATATTTCAAAGGCATCGGCAGAAGTATTTATTTTTCTCAGGGTGCCGAGCAGCATTTAAAAACGTCTTACTGTTTTTATGCAGGAGTAGAAAGCTGCCCTCGTAGATCTCATTGCTGGTAATTCCGCAGCATTTTTTTTGTTAATTTATATCCAATTGCTTTTTTTTTCAAAAATATGTCTAAATGTTTAAATGGAATTGCTGCTTGAGTGCTTTTTCATTTGTAAAGTTTCGGGTGGCTGGATGGCACATTGGTAACACTCGTGCCGCACAGCAAGAAGGGGCCTGGGTTCGATCCCCGACTCGGACACGTTTCCACGTGGAGCGTGCACGTTATCTCCCTCTCCTGCACTGCTTTCCTCCGTATTCTCTGGGTTTCCTTCCATAGCTAAAAATGCGTACACCGCAACTGGTGCGGTATTGGTAACAAACAAAAAAATCCCAAATCTCTCAAATTTTTTTTCTAAATGACCTAATTGGAATGACACGTAGCAACATCACCGCCGAATTGGAAAGGCTTGACAGGACCCTCCTTAAAAAGAGTCGTGAGACTCGGTGAGGATTTCTCGGGCGAACAAGCACAATATTAATAACACATGGAATGTTTGCATACTATTAAATATACCTTTGCACTATCGAATTTCTAACGATTGCTTCTTGTTTGTAGGAAGAAGATATGCTTTATTATAATGCGAAGAAAGAGCTTGAAGAGGAATATTCAGTGGGCAACGGAGAGCAGGTATAGAGATCTCAATTTCTGTCATTACAGAGTGCATGTTTTTAATGTGTAGCGCTGCTCAGCAGGGAAATGCTAATGAAGTTAAATATAGTTTTAAATAGGCAAGCTCCTGGCTACGATTTAATGTCTGAAAATAAAAATTCAAAGAAATAACGCGGACACTTATTCCTGAAACAGCCATATTGCTGCCATTCCCATGTGTAGTGTCGCCTCCAATCCATCTGGCTAAACCAGCCAGGCATGTTACAGATAACAGTGTTATCATAGCCTCCATCAGGCTTTTAATAAATAATTATGTTGCAGCCGAAGGTTTGGCGTCCCAGCAGGGAAAAGCTTATCGACCTGCTGTTGTCTACGATATCAGTCAGCGCAAAGGAAGGTGGCAGCCGTTTCTGCATGCTGAAAGTCCGGGGAGATGAATACGATAATCATAATGAGCTTGCAGACTGTTTTCTGCTAAATGAATGAATATCTTTCCCTGAGGGGCTTATAAGATTTTTGACCACTTTAATGTTGCATTTACTTTCACCGCTGGGTGCAAATTGATTTTTTTTTCACCGTGATATCCTCCGCAAAAAAAATCACATTTGGGAACAACATTAATTTATTTTAACATTATTTTTAAACGCCCAAAAATTTCAAGAAAAACAAGACTTAAGATCGTACACTGTTAATTTATCTGTCGTTTATTTAATAAGTGCTGATGTGCACTCTTGCACTTGGGGTGGGGGGAATAGCAGCACAACGCTCAATGTCGACAGGATGCCGCAATTGTAAAAAAACAAACCACGTGGCTATTTTCATACGCGAGACTGCAGGGCGAGGTGAAATTCGTCATGCCCCATTTCCTGCTGGCAATGTCCACTTAATGTTGCGAGCTACAAGCTCAGGCGCGAAAAAACGTATTTATTCATCCGCAAGTGTATAGAGGACTGGAGAGCACGCATGAATATTGCTTCGTGACTACGTATTAAAAAAAGTTCAAGGTAAAGGCTCGGCCCTGACATTCCGTTAAAAGGGCGTAACTCTTCCATGCTGGCCAAATATCTCAGCAGAGGTGGGAGCACTGATGCTTTATCGCACCAAATGCGACCTCCATTTATACTGCTGGATGGACAGAGGCCAGGGGATCTTCAGAAACCTAACTATTGTCATAATTGCCGTGCCGGGGTGATCGAACAGGCGACCTCTGGATTGCGAGTGCAGTGTGTTAAGGGGCCGTCTATAAGTGACGAGGGGGGGGGTTTGAGAAATGTGACGTCACATCAAAATGCGCAACGTTAAATAAATATAGACAACACGTTCTACTTATATTCTTGGTTCTTTCGGTAAAGTCACGTAGAAGGGAAACAAATTTTCTTGCTGTGGTTTTCACACCTGATGATGATTGCTTGTGTTGCAGTCGAAACGTCGTGAGAATTTTGTTTTTTTTTATATTTGTATTATTTTATTGTTTCCCTTCTACGTGACTTTACCGAAAAAACCAAGAATATGAATCCCTGCAGTCACGAAAGCTTTAAATCAAAACGTTCTACTTAATTAAATATACTTTTTAATGGATGTTTTCTCCTACAACATCAGAGTGCAGCGGCACATTAAATACCCACTACAATGACAATAGTTTTAAGCGATTTGAAGCATGTGTTTTTTTTTGGGGGGGGGGGGCAGAGCTTTGTGACGTCATATTTGAGGGGGGTCTGACTTTTTGTGACGCCGTGTGACGAGGGGGGGAGGGGGTCAAAAATCGTCTAAAATCGCGTGACGTCATTTATGGACGGCCCCTAACCATTATACCATGGCAGCATTCCTCACACTACTTGGCACCTAGATTAAATTAATTGGCACATTAAGATGTATTAATGTCGAGTTATATAATGAATTACCATTGCCGTTCGCATTAAAATTACAAGGGATTTGTCAACAAGTTGACTGCCGATACGCACGTTATGAGGATCCCCTAACAAAGGAGACATGATGTCCCGATGGGCCCTTACCCTGGTGACATTAAGTGGCACTGTGCTTTGTGATTGTAACAGTGGCGATTTTGTGACAAGATTATGGAATAACCGTATGAATAGCGCTTCTACAAAATACTGGATTGTTTCTGATGTCACTAATCATCATTGTTGATTAAACTCAAATGTGTCTAAACGTCATACATAATTGAAATCATATATAAAGCATATTTTACATCAAAATCATGAATAACAAACGCCCACATGCATATTCTCTAAGCATCAACGAAGAGGACATGTTATCCTTCAAAAACGTTTATCTAAATCTACACGTTCATTGTTTTATAGAGATATAGCAAAATAACATTAAAATAGCATTGTCAAATTATATACTTTAACGTTATGGGTATAATATTCCTTTTTGAAAGACCTGAGTGAAATTGTTGCCCTGTTTACATGTCAAGGAATGTTATACCGGGAAGCCTTCATCTAGTACTGGATTTACAAAGGGTAAATCAATTCTCATTATTAATATCCAAATATTCTCACTAATGTCCTGCAACTGAATTTTTACTTCCCACGGTATTCCCATCCAAAACTTTGCACTTACAAATTCCATCAAGACTTTTTTGTGTCTCCTTAATGGCAACAGAATGATTTTTGGAGGAGGAAAAAGGTTTCAAAGATTTCAAAATCTATACATATATATCCACTGCTGTCAGAACGGGAAAAGGTGCAATCATCGTGACAGTCGGCACTGAATCACAAGACCCGTGATGCTGCAAGCAATAACCTCCGTGTGATCTCGCGAATGCAGTGTTACAATTGGGTGCTAGGTCTTTGAAATTATTGTTTTTCACGTGCAGTTGCATGTCGAGAATGTCAAGCACGTTCAAGTGGTCACTAAATGTGTTTGAGTGAAACATGTTCTCCTGGCACCGTTAGCCGGGCATTTCTTTGCTGCAGATTGCAGCGGGCTTATCTGGTAATAGTTTTTTTGCGATAACGACAAAATGATGGTTGTTAACATTGACATTTTCCATCGGCATTCTTGGCTCTGACCACGTTCAGCCCGACATTTGTCTTTAAAAAAAAATATTCCGGGTAGGCGTGAGGTAGGGGAGTTAGTGGGGTAGTTGGTGGGCCGGGTAAAGTTGGCATGGAACATTGGCATACACAAAGACCCCTATGAGAGCTCGCATGTACCCAAGCACAGAGCTATTACTGTGGATTGGCTCTCTGGCTTTGTCTCCATGGTTAGAAAGCCTGCAGCATAATGTTCCTAAATGCCAAGAAGCATCAGCAAATGTAGTCGCATCCAATGTTACATGGGGACTATAGTGTGGACAGCACATATATTTGCAACTCCATTGACCTGAAGGTTGCCTATTATTAGAAGGCTTCATTTTTAAGGTCACGGGGTTCAGTGGGTTGTGAAATTTGGGATTAGTGAGCATTTTGAGCAAATCGGTCACCGTCTGAGTAAAACGGAATAGCAACGCATTTAATGTGAGTGTTTTTAAATTGGTGTGAGAAATATCTCATGTTAAAAAAGGTTGCATAGACACCAATGTTGCACTTAAACAATACGGAGCTAAGTCCCACCTTTATTGATATAGCAACAACACTGCTTGAAAAAGAGAAATGAAACTTAACATCTGCTGTGAAGAAGGGCTTTTACCTGAAACATCACGTATCTCTCTTTTTTTTTGCAATTAATTATGCTCGTGCACTGCTACCGGCATAGCATCGGCAAACAATGTGTTGTTGATAAACGGTTAAACGAATGGTGGAGAATATTTCAGAAAATCGGGATCAGACATGTAGGCGCGCACGTGGTAAAAAATTAAGTCGGTTAATCCCAAAGTTCAAGAAACCCCTCCCCGTGAATGTCAAAGACTTGTGAGATATCACCCTAAGTGACGACGCTGCATTGGCGCGGTTGTCTTTCTTAGCGAAATCGTTGTTCTATCTGCCTTGTCTTCTGCTCGGGCCACCGGTGACTTTTTAGTGGGAGGTTACAGGAGAACACCATTACAAAGTGCACTCCTTATCGTGGTCGAAATGGGTGAAGTTAACTGAATGTGTCATTACAGATACTGTGTAATGGTTACTTCGCCTGTAATGGTTTATGAATGTTGCCCATTCTCTCCTGCCCACCCGCCCCCCCTCCGTGCACCATTTCTGCTGCTCACTCATACTATGAATGAGTGAATGCTTTCTTTCCTTCTTTTTGACATTTACTCCTCCTGTGTCTGCTGACCCCATGTAAACGCAATTAAACAAGCCAACATTTCTCCCAGTTGAAATGTTGTGTTGATACTCGCGAGAAATTGTACAACATTAATGCTGAATACTATATCTCGGTGTACTCAGGATTCGGAGGAGGAGGAGGAGGAAGATGGACATGAGATTAATTCTCCGCGAATCGAGCCGACGTTTAAGCAAGACTCCGCGTTTGGATTCTCTGTGGATAAAAATCACTCCGCGATTCACATCCCAACTGACATTTACAAAGCCTGTGAGTATGAAGTTGCAAGTTTCCGAAATGTCCTGTCATTAATATTATATGGATAGTGGCCTTTTAAGTAAAATGCATTTTGGTATATATTGTTTCCCTTTCTTTTCAGGTGTTTAAAGAGTCGTGAAATATAAATTGTAATGTGTGGCCCCATTTAGCCTAGATCGTTTAAAAATTAAAACATTTTCAAAAAAGCTCATGGTTTTTATTGTACACATGGCCTTTATTTAATTGCATTTTACAGTATTGAAATGTAATCGATATTGAACAACTTAAATTAATATTCTATTAAATTATTATAAATGCAATGTATTATAATAAATGTACATCTTAAGGCACTTGATAAGGGTAAACATTATGTTATAATTGGATGGCATTTTTTTACATATATAAATGTATTATTATGCTTGATTTGCATTTTACACCAAATATTTACATTACATTCTGCAACAACAAAAAAAATATTTTCTTTACACATTTCAGCGCCTTTCCATTTTAAGTTTAAATTGATTATTTTTGTTTCGAAAAGACTGTCTGAATCACATTAACTACATTGCAAGGAGGTTTATTTTATTTTATTTCAAGCACCCTAAATCAAATCTATTTTTTAAAGAAGAGTAATGTGTGCAATTCGGCTAGCATATTCACTGCGGATTATTTTCATTTGCATGTCGCTCGTGGCTTATCACGCACGTTCCAAACACTAAGATGCAATTTTCTACACCAGTCACTTTAAAAAACCGCAAGAGTCATAATGAAGTGCCCGACCACCAGCATGTCCTGGCTATCGTCTCTCATAAACACTATGCTGCCGTTTAAAACCCAATGCTTTTTTAACCTTGCACACAAATGTATTTTCGTAGCGTACAACTTTTATCTTCATCATGCCCGCTCATGGCATCTGCGTTGAAAAGTCTATATGACGGTGCAGTGAAATTTACGGAATATCATCGCATATACTTAGTATGCAACTTATGTGGTGTGTACTGGAAATTTAAGCGCATCTGTGGCTATATTCCCTATATGTATGTATGTTGAACTTCTTTCGCACCATACGTAGCCAACCGTTTTAATTGGAGGTGTGAGAAATATATGTTATCATAATCAACTTTGGTCAATCTGCTGCTGAATGAAATCTTGCCCTAGCCGCCAAATTTCACGACCCTCCACTGTAATAATTTGCCTTTCGCCTGCACAAGGTCTGATTTTATTGCTCCATCTCCTCGGTGGACATCTTATTCGACGTATATCCCCTTCATTGGCTGTCACTCCATCATTATTCTTAACCATGTGCCAACATACATTCTCGTGACCAAGATGCAACATCTAGAGTGGACATTATTCTGTATCTAAATGTATTGTAATACTATTACTTTCACAGTAATTATAATTATACTTTCACAGTAATAATTACTGTGAAAGTCAATTGGTGTCGTTTATTTTAAGAAGTTGTTGTCCTTGCGATATTTTACTACTGGAACAATTTATTTTATCCTAGTCCCATAGTTGGTACTGTTTGGCCTGTATGATCCTAGGCATTAAGCGATGTGCCAATTTGTTGATTAAAATATATTCTTACACTCACGCCACATTCATCTTATCAGGTGTGTGAGGGAATAAGTTATTTAGATGTATGCAAATATCATGCAAATTACGCCTTTGACCAAATCAGTTGGAATGCATCCTATCTCATGCACATATGGAAATGATATTCGATGTTACCTTTAGGCTAGTAGATTGACTCACACTACCAAAGAGAGTAACCTATAACAATATAGAGGGAGAATAGAAACAAGACCGTTAAAACGAGACGAAAAAAATCGATAATTGAGGTCATCGAATCGCCGGGGGATTCAATACAGGTAGTCCCCGACTTACGATGGTCCCCGACTTACGATATTTCGATCTTACGATGGCGATAGCGATATGACAAAATTGTAAAATATTTTAAATTTCGCGCGGCAGGCAAACGCAGCAGCGCACTACAAGGTACGATACTGTAACTTTATCATCGCCATCCTCCTCTTCCGGCAACTAAGTTAATGTGGCCATCAACAACCTAACATCGTTCAAGTATGCAGACGACAGACAGAATCTTGGTGAGCACAGTAGAATATGATACGTTACCATACGTTCAATGCATGTATGATACATAGCTTTAGCGATTTAATTTTAGGGTTACCACGATACGATACATATGTTCAATGCATGTTAAAAGTTTTTTTTATATATATAGCAGATAGGAGGATTGTTTCCTGAAAAAAACTTTCTATGAAAATTCAGTTCATATAGGTAGGCTAAGAATTTACCTTGTTTTTTTACTTTAAATTTTACTGTGCAATACAGTATTGTAATTAATAAATACATACAGTATATAGTTTATACAGTACGGTACTGTAAATTGCTCTGTTTTGCTAAATTATCATCATTCTTTAAGACTCCTTGCTAGGCTAGGCCATCTTCGACTTACGATATTTTCGACTTACGATGGGGTCGTCGTAACGCATCTCCGTCGTAAGTCGGGGACTACCTGTATCGTAAGTCGGGGACTACCTGTATATGCATTCCTAAGACTTAGTCGACCGCACTGACTATTTTGTCTCATTATACATACCGTGTTCAACCAATCGACTGCAGGTCACAATTCTCTTTCTGCTTCTCTCTACGCGCTGCTCACCTTCGTAATCCCCTCCCATTGCCTCTTTTCCCAAGTTCTTATAACCTTGCTCAAATTCAACAGAATTTTTTTTACTATTTTCAATTACCCCTTCAATTGTGATCCATGTTGCTGGCCGCTTGGCATGTTGAGCCTTTGGGCTCTGTGCTGGGGTGCTGTGATGGTTTTTGTTAATAAAGCACAACGCTCTGCCTAGCAAACCAAACCCCAACCGGGCTTTTTGCTCGTAGATTTCCATTCCTGAAAACCGTTCCCAACACGCCGGCAGTGTCCGGACGAGAAGCGCACACAGGAGAGGCCCCCTGCAGCCTGCGACGACGCTGCGGCGCCATCCCTGCCGCCTGCCCAGCAAGGGCTGCTGTCCAGCATGCATGCAGAGACTTACTAACACCCACGCGAGAGGGTGACAAATGGTCCCCCCTCGGTCTGTGTTGCGTTGACTTGCCAGCGTTCCAGGCGAGTGCTGACCTACATAAATAGTTCTCAATTAGGCAGCTTCAGCAGCAGCAGCGCGTCGCGTCGCGGGGTGTGTGTGTGTCGAGCACACGCCGCGATTAACACCCCGCTTATTTTGAGCGCGGCATTCGTGCACCGCGCTAAAGGTTCGCATGTTTGCACGCTGGGATGTAAATACAATCACCCCCGCGCCACCGAAAATTTCGAGCTGAAATGCAATTTTTGTTTTTTAAAGTTGCATACTTATTTTCCAATCGCAGCTATTTCATATGTTATTCTCACGTGATAGAAATCTGGCCATTACCTTTATGAATGTATTGCTCCGGTTAGGGGCAATTAGCCGAGCGGCAGACAAAAAGTGCACATGGTGTGTCTTTATCTATGGCCGAGTCGTGTGAGCTAACATCAGTCAGTGACCATAATGACTGCTCACCACCACTCTTCCCCTTAAAGAGCAGTGAAATGGGGCACCTAGTAAGATTATAGTTTTTTTATGGTGGGCTTGCATTTCCATAATGACAAAGTTGTTTGTCCACATATAAGGGACCCAGCTTGATCCCATTAATAGGCATTGGCCATGCAGTCCTATTTTTCATTGAACTGCATAAATGCAGGGTGAATTGAATAGTATGAGTTGACTGAGTTTATTGGAGCACCAGTGCTTGTTAGTGTATAATATTGGTCGGGTTAATTTTTTTGCGTGATGTATTTACGTGCATTTCTGAGTAGTATATATTGGCGACGTGTGGCGTGAACACACTGGTTAAGATGTGCTGGCTCAATTTAGTTCATGTTATGGATACAAAGTGACCTCACCTCTGTTAGCAGAGTGATTATTTCATTTTTAAAAAAATCTAAAGATAATACAAACATTCTGTTGGTGCATGTATGTTAAATGTAGCTTTTCAACTTAGATTCTATAGTTTTTCACAAATGTACTACTTTTTTATTACAAACTTTTATTGAATTCGCACTGTTGTTCGTTGATATGCTTTGGAATCTTTGACGCTTAATATCTTGGGATCTACGAAACCTCGCGAGCTGAAATGTTATACGCAGACTCGCCGCTTCGTGTGACAATATTCATTTTTAAAAAAACGGCCCAGGTTCTGCCCATTGTGGTCCGATTCGTATTTTTTACAAAATTTTACTAATTAACAATCGTACCTTTTACTAATTCTTCATGGTATTTTTTACTAATTCATGATCGTACATTTTACTCATTAATAATCGTATATTTTACTGATTAATCATCCTAAATTATACTAGTTGAAATCGTGCACTTTACTAATTAATAATCGTATATTTTACTCAATAATTATAATCGTAGATTTCCCCCCCCTTCCCCCTTTTTTTTTAAATCACGAATGGTCGCGCCCGCCGACGACGTCTTGCAAACGTCTGGCCCAATCACAGCGGCTATTGCTGGCCAGCCTCTGACCAATGAGAGGTGCGCTTCTATCACCGCTCGTCATGGCGCCGGAGCGGCCGCTGTTGCTCCTTAGCGCAAGAGCAACAAGTACACCGAACAAACTCTTATTAGGTAATAAAAACAAGATTTTCAATGCACACACTTTCATTTGCACTCAAAAGTAGAAAATAAATTATTTTGACCATGGAATTAATAGAATTTGATGTGCTCAATAAAAAGTGAGTGGCTTCCTTTCGATATGTTTAATCTTCTTTATGCAAGCCCCCCACTTTTATTGAGCTCATGTAGTTTCATTAATTCCGGGGTTAAAATAATGTATCTTCTACTTTTAAGTGCAAATAAAGGTGTGTGCGTTGAATAGCTTGTTTTTTTTTACCCATTTAAAAAAAAATGTTACAATCTGAATACACATTTACGCCTGCGAATTTTTCAATA